GTGAAGTCAATTATAAATATAAAGTGGGGTCCGGATCCAGTGCCGAATTATTTTAGGTCCGGTATTCTAAGAGTCTTAGTACATATCATGGTTTTATGGAATGAATAAATTAAAAGTTGAATTTTTGTCATTACATTTTGGCTTAATTGGTGCCAATGAAAAATTGTTGGAGTTTTCACAAATCATGCAGTAGTTAAACTTATTTACTAATCACTCCTAAAGTGAACGTTTTTGAGTATAATATGATGTTCATGAGTCGGCAATTGCAAACAATTTGCTGTTAGCAACTGACCCTTTGACCTTTACTTTGACCTTTACTAAAGAAACCGTAACTTTGAAAAATTACCCTTTCGTAAGACACAAGTATGCTGCTGGGCTGCCCATTAAGAGAGATGCCCAATAAAGTAGACCATTCTCCAATTTTTGTAGGTGTTTCTGGACACAAAGTGAGTCATCTTACATCATGTGACAAATGTTATGTTGCTCATGAGTCTTTAAGACCTTTCTTATAGTTAACAGTCCAATAGCCCATTTGTGAATACTGTCATTGTTCGCTAGGCAAAAATCCGTTTTTCAGCCACATTTCCGAAAATAAGCCTTTTAGGGTATATGTTGCTTCATAAGTTGTATATAAATGTGGCCATTATGTACATTTTAGTGTATCAGAATAGTCTCTACGACCTTCCTAGGCGGAAATGCCAAAAATCACGGAAATTATGAACTGCGTCAAGCCAAAAACCATTTTTCGGCCATATTTCCGAAACGAAGCATTTTAAGGTATATGTTGCTTCATAAGTTGTATATAAATGGGGCTATTAGGCACATTTTAATGTATCAGAATAGTCTTTAAGACCTTCCTGAGCCGAAATACAAAAATTCGAGTGACCGCGAAACACTGAAAAAGGGTGTTGCCGAAAACGCCCTCATTGCATTTATTTCAAAAATGCAATGAAGTCCAAATGTTTTAAGAATCATCTAGAGAGGTGATAACCGTTGAGAAATCGCTTTTAACACGAAAAGCTAACGAGATTCCGTTTCGTCCCAGACTAGAAGTTAGATTATCTTTTACTTCACCCATCTATTCTGGTGCAATGTTTCCTGTGCATTCATTCATCTAGATTAAGTTCGTCGATTTAATAAAAACTCTTTGAGGTCAAAAATTCGATTAACTCTAGGTCTAGTTCTATAATGCATACTAATAATGTTGCTCGATATTTTAATTATCTATTTGAAAAGTATTTCGTGGTCCAGTTTGGTCAGGTCGGGAGACCGGTAGTTTATATAATATTAAGCACCATCAGTTGGCACAGAATTTTCTTGTCGTCCCTCTCTCTCTCTCTCTCTGTTCTGGTCAACGGTTTCTGGCCTCCTACTATAAGAGGGAAGCCTTCTCGCCGTGCCCACAGAATGCAACTCTTGCTAGCTGCACGCCAGGACTCCCAAAGTATATACGAAATCTTGTCGTCCCATTCTTCGTATTTGCTGCGCGTGAACGTTTATAGCAAGACCATTGATGAATACTTCGAGTTTTAGTTGGAGGTGATGTGTCATTTTAACCAGAATTGTCTGTAGAAGGCTGTTGTTCGCCGCCATCGCATCTTTTAACAATTCTGTGTGTTGAGCTCGAGATACATTCGATATAAATAGTGCTTTCTGCTCAAGTTCATCGAACAGACTCAATAAGTCAATAATATCGAACAGACTCTATAATATACCCTTATTGAACGGACTCAATAATATACCCTATAATGATATGTTATGTTGCATAAAGTTAAACAATATACATACGGTTACATAGAGATATACACTATTTTCAAATTAAATATGGAATTAACTGGGCGGCGCTCGGCCTGTCACTTTGCTATATCTGCATGCTTATAAACAGCAAAAACTGGGGATCCAGGTTGTATGAAATATAATAAAATATGCCATCACGGATCGGGAAATTGAGCGGCCATCCACAAAATAAAAATGGCCGCATTTCTCGTTCTCAACGATCATGTTGGTCAGCGTATTGGACTAATGGTTGTGGTTTGATACGGAAACTGGAGGGGATCAATTCGATCCTGCGTTGATAAATCATCACTACTACTATCTTACTTATCTTACTATGTCGCGCTAATAAATAATTACTACTATTACTATGTCGTGCTAATAAATCATTAGTGCAGGTAAAATATGCCTAAAATTATAAAGTTCGTCATTCACTGCCTTCAAAGTCAGTTGCTTGACTGCCTTCGACACTATAATATCTAGATAGAATAAGCTACTATTGTCTATTTCTTTGTCATCGTGGCATGATACTTTTATCATTTTTATAATCCAAGACTGATAAAAAAATCATTAAAGAGCAAAATTACCAAATTGGATGCCCAAATTTCCTGCCCAAATTTTTGATACTCAAATCTATTGATCCCAAAGTTTTGGCACACAAATGTTTGAGAACTAAGGTAGCTGAATTTCTAACACTTATTTTCATAAATTCAGGCCAGGCCCCCTCCCTCCCCCCCCCCCCCCCCCCCCCCCCCAGCTCAGCCACCAAGTACCATTAAATTTCTGTGCACTTAACGTATAAGTGAGATTGACCTAAATCTTTAAGTTAAGTTCACTTAAGCTCTGACAGCACTGCTTCTTTGCACTTAGCCCCTCCTGTGACTGGACAGATGACTAACTTTATTTATGTCATTTAATATCAAGATTATTAACTTACTGACAGTTGCCTATCTAACGTTAATGTCACTATGGTAACGTAAGTGCCACTCTCAGTTCCAGATGATAGTTATCCCCAGGTCAGCAGAAAGGTAGTCACCTGGTCCAAACAATATATTCATATTATATAGCTTAGATTTAATGATGCAGGGGGACTCCTGACAGGTTTAATAATTAGACTTTAAAACCTCATCTCCATAGATAGAATATCCCGACTTAAACTGCGACAGATTTATTTAAAGGAGGCAAAGTGTGCAGTGCAGAAATTGTTGTTTAAAATGTGTGAAGATAGATTTTTGTTGGGTTTTTTGGATTCTTGATTCGCTAAGATGTTGATATTCTTGATGAGCATAAAAATCACTGTTAGTCTTCTAGAATTTTGTTTAGAAATGTGTAGTATTTGTTCTTACTTCCAGGGATTATATTTTTATCTATAACCAAGTTACTAACTGAAAACTAAATCAAACTCTCCCGTTAAGCTAAAATGGATATATACGGTATCTCCTCCATCTTCTGTTTCTTGGTAGGTACCCCCCTCAACATTATGTCCTACGCCTACTTCTACTCCAGGAAGCAGTCCTCTAAATCCATCCTCTTCATCTACTCCCTGATCTCGATAACAGACACCGTTATCTGCGCCTTGTCCCTGGCCCCCATGGTATCCTACATCCTGGCGGGGGGTGCTGGCATATTTGGAGGACCTGTACCTTGCACCATGTGGGATATCCTCATGGAGGTGCTCGTCAGGTACTCCCTGATATTGGTGGCCATGTTGAGTGTGTGCCGAGCCCGGGCTCTCATATATCCTCTCCGTATCATCAGCAGACAGAGGATAAGCTGGGTAGCTGAAGGGGCACTCTGCCTCCTCCTCCTCCAGGAGATACTCCCTACCATCATCTTGAACGAGTTCTCTACTTACGTTCCACAGCGGCTATCCTGTCATTTCTTCGGCCTTGAAGCCGTGCTTACCCCTCTTCAGACGATGATATTCAAGCTGATAACCTTCTTCGGAGAGATAGGAATCCCCATGGTAGTGGGAGGTGTAACAGGGGGCCTCTGTTTCTACGTACTGGCTGTTAAAGCGGACAAATACGAGAGCGACGTGACGTCAGTGCAGAAAGAGAAGAAACGTGAAGCTACCAAGACAATCGTCATAGTAACGGGACTCTCTGTACTGCTCAATCTTCCCATAGTCTGTTTTGCTGTAGCGTTTAGTCTGGAGGTGCGGATGAGTATGAGAACCATCCTGATAGGAGTGGATCTGGCCAGCAGTCTGGTGGTTTTGAACTCTGTTTTGAACAGTTTAATCTATTTTTTCAGAATCAAGAGGATGAGACTTTTTGCTAAACGTCTGATTATAGATAAAACGCCCTGCAGTCGAACAACTCCAGCCGTGACAGATAAAAATGAAACGTGACTCATTGACTCAATCAAGTTTCGAGTGAGTGTGGCTTCGAGTGATAACATTTATTTAATATTATTCATTAGTTCAGGACGTTCCAAACAATGCTTCCCTCATAACTAGTCCCTAATACAATATTTTTCAGAACAGCAGGATAGAAAACCTAACAATCTTAACTGTTAAACCTAATGTTACCATGGTAACCCTAATTACCATGGTAACCCTAATCTGGACTACAAAGAAGTCCTTCTCTTTACTGTAACTGTAATCCTGTTTGGAACGTTGTACCAGGTCCTGGTACCATTATTATCAGGGAATGTCTACTATAACAGTGGGGAGGCCTACTTTTTGATGTCGGATAGGACAAATGTGTTCATCAACAAGACTTAATAACAAAAGTGAACTAGCAGTGTTACTTAACACTTAAAGGAAACGAATTAACGAATTAAAATAAAGCTGAAATCTCTGTTATTCAAATTGTCAATTAAATTAGGATTCTTGTGTTCTGCTGTCGCCAATAATTTATTTTGCAAATATTTATTTCCACTTTCCTTTGTAAACTTATTCAGTATGACCTCCAATTTTAATCATTTTTGATAGTGATAATGCACTTAACCATTTTTCAGCCCTCTAATATGAATTGCAAAAGTGGATCGCTTACTAGACTAAAGATTAATTTTAACTTGTTCATGTACGTTCCTAAAAATGCCACGCAAAATTAAATAATAATAAATTGATTACGTAATATGTGAACGACACCTAAGAGGCTGGTTGAAATTCACTCACAAACAGCGATCTCTGGAGTCTGGTCAACTATATCCTTAAAATAGTCTACTCAGCAGTCAACTGTATATCCTTAAGATAGTCTGTGAAATTGAAACTAAGTTACCTTTTCATCAGCCCCCAGGATAATTCCTCCGTCTGACACATCGTATCTAGCTCCGTCCAGCTCGACCCCGGATTTAGGAGAAATAGGAGAGAAAACGTCGTTACTATGGTAACAGAACTGTGCAATCTGAGGGTGAAGTGAAGGTGTTACTACTAAGGTTACTATGGTAACTGTGAGGGTGTTACTACTAAGGTTACTATGGTAACTGTGAGGGTGTTACTACTAAGGTTACTATGGTAACTGTGAGGGTGTTACTACTAAGGTTACTATGGTAACTGTGAGGGTGTTACTACTAAGGTTACTATGGTAACAGTGAGGGTGTTACTACTAAGGTTATTATGGTAACTGTGAGGGTGTTACTACTAAGATTACTATGGTAACAGTGAGGGTGTTACTACTAAGGTTACTATGGTAACTGTGAGGGTGTTACTACTAAGGTTACTATGGTAACAGTGAGGGTGTTACTACTAAGGTTACTATGGTAACTGTGAGGGTGTTACTACTAAGGTTACTATGGTTACTGTGAGGGTGTTACTACTAAAGTACTAATGTTACTATGGTAACTGTGAGGGTGTTACTACTAAGGTTACTATGGTTACTGTGAGGGTGTTACTACTAAAGTACTAAGGTTACTATGGTTACTGTGAGGGTGTTACTACTAAAGTACTAAGGTTACTATGGTTACTGTGAGGGTGTTACTACTAAGGTTACTATGGTTACTGTGAGGGTGTTACTACTAAAGTACTATGGTAACAGTGAGGGTGTTACTACTAAGGTTACTATGGTAACTGTGAGGGTGTTACTACTAAGGTTACTATGGTAACTGTGAGGGTGTTACTACTAAGGTTACTATGGTAACTGTGAGGGTGTTACTACTAAGGTTACTATGGTAACAGTGAGGGTGTTACTACTAAGGTTATTATGGTAACTGTGAGGGTGTTACTACTAAGATTACTATGGTAACAGTGAGGGTGTTACTACTAAGGTTACTATGGTTACTGTGAGGGTGTTACTACTAAAGTACTAAGGTTACTATGGTTACTGTGAGGGTGTTACTACTAAAGTACTAAGGTTACTATGGTTACTGTGAGGGTGTTACTACTAAGGTTACTATGGTTACTGTGAGGGTGTTACTACTAAAGTACTAAGGTTACTATGGTAACTGTGAGTGCGTTACTACTAAGGTTACTATGGTAACTGTGAGGGTGTTACTACTAAGGTTACTATGGTAACTGTGAGGGTGTTACTACTAAGGTTACTATGGTAACAGTGAGGGTGTTACTACTAAGGTTATTATGGTAACTGTGAGGGTGTTACTACTAAGATTACTATGGTAACAGTGAGGGTGTTACTACTAAGGTTACTATGGTAACTGTGAGGGTGTTACTACTAAGGTTACTATGGTAACAGTGAGGGTGTTACTACTAAGGTTACTATGGCAACTGTGAGGGTGTTACTACTAAGGTTACTATGGTTACTGTGAGGGTGTTACTACTAAAGTACTAAGGTTACTATGGTAACTGTGAGGGTGTTACTACTAAGGTTACTATGGTTACTGTGAGGGTGTTACTACTAAAGTACTAAGGTTACTATGGTTACTGTGAGGGTGTTACTACTAAAGTACTAAGGTTACTATGGTTACTGTGAGGGTGTTACTACTAAGGTTACTATGGTTACTGTGAGGGTGTTACTACTAAAGTACTAAGGTTACTATGGTAACTGTGAGTGCGTTACTACTAAGGTTACTATGGTAACTGTGAGGGTGTTACTACTAAGGTTACTATGGTTACTGTGAGGGTGTTACTACTAAAGTAATAAGGTTACTATGGTAACTGTGAGGGTGTTACTACTAAGGTTACTATGGTAACTGTGAGGTGTTACTACTAAAGTACTTAGGTTACTATGGTTACTGTGAGTGTGTTACTACTAAAGTACTAAGGTTACTATGGTAACTGTGAGTGCGTTACTACTAAGGTTACTATGGTAACAGTGAGGTGTTACTACTAAGGTTACTATGGTAACTGTGAGGGTGTTACTACTAAGGTTACTATGGTAACTGTGAGGGTGTTACTACTAAGGTTACTATGGTAACTGTGAGGGTGTTACTACTAAGGTTACTATGGTAACTGTGAGGGTGTTACTACTAAGGTTACTATGGTTACTGTGAGGGTGTTGAATTATTTGCTGTAAATTAACCTCTCTCTAGATTAAAATGATAGTCTGCAAGAGTGAAACCTGCTTGACCGAATCCGAATGATATGCAATAATATATAATGTACCTCATACCTGGTTTGCCCTGTCTGGCGGGATTACAATGATAGTCGATGATATGCACTCCTGGGTAGCCTTCTTTTCAGGGAACTATTTGCAACCCTAGTTACGGCAACCCTAGTTTGGATACTGCCTGGCGTCGTTTAACCACATAGTTTTGAGCTGTAATAGTGTGTTATGGTAATATGTCATATTCTATTAACATACGAATTTTTCCCAGAAATTAAATTGCCGAATTTTTTGAAAAATACAACCACGGGAACAAAAATAAGTGCGTGCTCCTAAATTTGAATTCAAGTTTTATTTTTGGTTTGTTAAATACGCACAAAAAATGGTAAATTATTTTAACTTTTCAATTTAAAAGTGCTGCACGTTTCCATATTTTTTGGCAAATTTAACAGCCCAAAATCAAAAGTGGAGAATATACGCAAATTTGTTGGACCTTGAATAAGGTAAATACCTTATTATTTTTGATAATAATTTAACATAATATTATATACTTTAAAGTTTGGGGGGATGATTGATCACTCTACACTCGACTGTCACGTGACTTTTTTAACCCGTTCTCTACTTCTAGCTGGTCCCGAACGACTATTCGAAAACCCTAACCCTTTATAAATCTGATCCCAACTCTAACCCTAACCCAATCCTTAACAAAAGCATATGCTAAAACCCTAACCCTAACGAGAAATTAGATTAACTTCCTTATATAATGGTCGTAATCATATCACGTGATCGAGACAGTTTTTCGCCAATATCTCGTCAGGGGAGCATTTTAACCCTATGTCATGGGGGGTGATTCGGAATCAGCGTTCGAAAATGCATCGATTAAAGTAGGTTTCAACTGTCGGGGGCCCTTTTAGAACAATCTCGAAGATCGACTGATTTAGCACGCTCGGGGGGATCATGAGAGGCGAAAAACTCATTCTCGATCTCAAAAATTGATTCTTATCCCAATTCCCAATTTGACCACATAGCACTGATATGAAGAATGATTTGGTATATCACTATTTGGGATGGGTGTGAGGTATGATAACACACCCGAGTTGTCTTAAATGACTTTCTTACAATTAATTATGCGCATTTATATTAATTATTGAACGTAAGATTCTTGCACTGAAAATTAAAGACGGGTTGCGGTGACTTAAAAATGGAGAAGCCTTCAAAATGGTCAAAATTTAAGAAGCTGAAGCCTTTGCCAAAATGAACGATCTTTATAAAAAACAGAATTAATGTTTATAAGAGCAGAGTGCGACAACAGATTCAAAAAGGAACACACAGCAGTTACCATGCCAACTAGACAATTAGACAGGTAACTTCTGGTAAGCAAAACACATTTGGATGATACAATGACCGTGGTGTCTGCTGCTCCTGATTGGTGGTCCATCCTCTCTAGCAGCCAATAGCCATGAATGAGTTACGTCACGTGACTCAGATCCGACCAATCACGTAACAGCAAACAGGAGCATCGGACGGTTATCTCTTGTTTACTTTTCTTATCTGTATTTTACACTCAGTTGAGATGGTTATCAGATATTTTTGTGGAGCTATACTACAGCTATTATAATACTTGATTGTCCAGCTTTAGAACTCTAGCTCTAGCACTCCAGCTTTAGCACTCAAGCTTTAACACTACAGCTTTGCCTTTAGGGGTGGGCGACAATTGACCCCCCGACAATATAATTTAATACAATTTTAACCCTAACCCTAACCCTAACCCTAACCCTAGCAGTGGCGTAACTTTGCCTTTTGGCGCCCCCCGCTCAGTGACGAAAAGCGCCCCCCTTAAATTTTTTGTGTCCCTTAAAAAAAAAGAAAAAAATAAAAAAAAAGGTCGGGTACTTTTTTTCTCGCCCCCCTACAGCTTTTTGCGCCCCCTGAAGCAAAATAGGGTACCCCAAATATTTTTTTCGCGTCGACCGAACGCTAAATTGGACAGGGAAATACACAAACAAGGCGTTTTTTCAGTGAAAGGGCCTAAAATTCAGGAAAATTGCGCCCCCCTTATACGGCGCCCCCCCCCCGCACAGCGGGGTCTACGGGGCCCTAAGTTACGCCACTGAACCCTAGTCCCTAACCCTAACTCGGGGGGTCAATTGTCGTACTAAACCCTAGATTTCGCGACAACTGACCACATTGTAATTTTAATTACATAGGGGGTCAATTGTCGGGGGGTCAATTGTCGGGGGGTCAATTGTCGCGGTACCAGCTTTAGCACTCCAGCTTCAGCACTCCAGCTTTAGAACTCCAGCTTTAGCACTACAGCTTCAGCACTCCAGCTTTAGCACTCCAGCTTTAGCACTACAGCTTCAGCACTCCAGCTTTAGCACTACAGCTTTAGCACTCCAGCTTTAGCACTCCAGCTTTAGCACTCTAGTTCTAGCACTCCAGCTTTAACACTCCAGCTTTAGCACTCCAGCTTTAGCACTCCAGCTTTAGCACTCCAGCTTTAGAACTCCAGCTTTAGCACTACAGCTCTAGCACTCTAGCTTTAGCACTCCAGCTTTAGAACTCCAGCTTTAGCACTACAGCTCTAGCACTCTAGCTTTAGCACTCCAGCTTTAGCACTCTAGTTCTAGCACTCCAGCTTTAACACTCCAGCTTTAGCACTCCAGCTTTAGCACTCCAGCTTTAGCACTCCAGCTTTAGCACTCCAGCTTTAGCACTCAAGCTTTAGCACTCCAAATTTAGCACTCCAGCTTTAGCACTCTAGTTCTAGCACTCCAGCTTTAACACTCCAGCTTTAGCACTCCAGCTTTAGCACTACAGCTTTAGCACTACAGCTCTAGCACTACAGCTCTAGCACTCCAGCTTTGGCACTCTAACTTTAGCACTACAGCTTTAGCACTCCAGCTTTAGCACTCTAGCTTTAGCACTCCAGCTTTAGCACTCCAGCTTTAGCACTCCAGCTTTAATAGCACTCCAGCTTTAGAACTCCAGCTTTAGCACTACAGCTCTAGCACTCTAGCTTTAGCACTCCAGCTTTAGCACTCTAGTTCTAGCACTCCAGCTTTAACACTCCAGCTTTAGCACTCCAGCTTTAGCACTCCAGCTTCAGCACTCCAGCTTTAGCACTCCAGCTTTAGCACTCAAGCTTTAGCACTCCAACTTTAGCACTCCAGCTTTAGCACTCTAGTTCTAGCACTCCAGCTTTAACACTCCAGCTTTAGCACTCCAGCTTTAGCACTACAGCTTTAGCACTACAGCTCTAGCACTACAGCTCTAGCACTCCAGCTTTGGCACTCCAGCTTTAGCACTCTAGCTTTAGCACTCCAGCTTTAGCACTACAGCTTTAGCACTCCAGCTTTAGCACTCTAGCTTTAGCACTCCAGCTTTAGCACTCCGGTTATAGAGGTGACCAATGAAATCACGCCATTAAAGTCACGTGATAGTCCGTTTCCCTTCGTGTCCAAAAGCATTATAGCTTTGAATAAATTTTTTCTGTTTGAGATATGAAAAACATTGATCTGAATAATGTTCCAAATTATATTTTAAATGTTCCAAAAAAATATTGTAAACGATGAATAGACACAAATTCAACTCTGGACAAGAGACAATAAACGTATCTGAAATCATCCCAAAAAGGTGCAATAAATAATTAAACAATCATTAAAAAGTATGCGAAAATAAATATTTTAGAATTACAATCTGCAATAAATCATCAAATAAGATGATACAATTTCTGTGCATATAAATGTGCAATCATGAAAATCTGAAATCGCTCAATCAGTCAATCCTCATCGTTATCATCATCATCCTCATCATCACCCTCATCATCCTCACTTTGACCGTGTATTTTATCACGCACATACTTAAGGAAGTCGAAAAACAACTCCGAAAAGTTTTTGGAAGATTGGTAACCCTTCTGTTGTAACCACTTCTCCGTTCCGACTGCTTTTATTTCCTCCATCTCCTCCTTAGTGACCACCTGATAAAATCACGGCGAGTTTAGAACTCAATAAAACATGGATTTTAAGGAAATTTAGGGTAATTTTCTTGAGAATTGCAGAAGCGGAAAGTCAGCTGAAGTCACTTAATCTCACCAAGCAGGTAATCTGATTTCGGAACAGATAATACTGGGTGGTCTCATCTGAAGTTAATACAGTTTTGGTATGAGTTGTTTGGGAACCGTGATATGAGATTGTTGGCGCCCGTATGTACGACTGTCCGGGTTCACCTTAAATTCAATTTAGGTTGAACAGGAAACTAGCCGGATAAATTGGGATATCTTGAATTACCAATACCAAAGAATAATAAATAACTCATATTTTTTCATTTTTTCCCGATCCATGACTTATAAACAATAACGACTGGGGTCCCCAGGTTGTATGGAATATAAATAAAAATACGCCATCACGATTTGGGAAATTGAGCGGCCATCCACAAAAGAAAAGCGGCCGCATTTCTTGTTTATCCATGAAATTGAAATCTAACTTCACGAACCCACCTCCGGGAAAAAGTAAAAGAACTGAGTTTGACGGAAGTTATACTACCAAATAAGGTAATTTTACCATAGTAACACTACCAAATAAGGTAATGCTAAAACAAACCCACCTCCGGGGGAATGTAGAAGAACTGAGTTTGACAGAAGTTATAAATCTCATCGTTAAGATTAGGAGCGTCCACGAAGTGAGACACAGCCTTCATAAGCTGGTCTGAGGAGGACTCTATCTCGGCAGGGGAGATGAGGAGACTGTGATCAGTGTCTAGTCCGTGTGCTATCAGTGCAACCCAGCTTCTAGTGTACTGCAGGAATATAGTGTTACCATAGTAACACTACCAAATAAGGTAATGCTAAAACAAACCCACCTCCGGGGGAATGTAGAAGAACTGAGTTTGACAGAAGTTATAAATCTCATCGTTAAGATTAGGAGCGTCCACAAAGTGAGACACAGCCTTCATGAGCTGGTCTGAGGAGGACTCTATCTCGGCAGGGGAGATGAGGAGACTGTGATCTGTGTCAAGTCCGTGTGCTATCAGTGCAACCCAGCTTCTAGTGTACTGCAGGAATGCAGTGTTACCATAGTAACGCTACCATATAAGGTACCATAGTAACGCTACCATATAAGGTAATGCTATCAGTGCAACCCAGCTTCTAGTGTACTGGAGGAATACAGTGTTACCATAGTAACGCTACCATATAAGGTAGCATAGTAACCATAGTAATACCACCATATAAGGTAATGTTATCAGTGCAACCCAGCTTCTAGTGTACTGCAGGAATATAGTGTTACCATAGTAACGCTACCATATAAGGTAGCATAGTAATACCACCATATAAGGTAATGCTATCAGTGCAACCCAGCTTCTAGTGTACTGCAGGAATGCAGTGTTACCATAGTAACGCTACCATATAAGGTAATGTTATCAGTGCAACCCAGCTTCTAGTGTACTGCAGGAATATAGTGTTACCATAGTAACGCTACCATATAAGGTAATGTTATCAGTGCAACCCAGCTTCTAGTGTAATGCAGGAATATAGTGTTACCATAGTAACGCTACCATATAAGGTAATGTTATCAGTGCAACCCAGCTTCTAGTGTACTGCAGGAATATAGTGTTACCATAGTAACGCTACCATATAAGGTACCATAGTAATACCACCATATAAGGTAATGTTATCAGTGCAACCCAGCTTCTAGTGTACTGCAGGAATGTAGTGTTACCATAGTAACGCTACCATATAAGGTAATGTTATCAGTGCAACCCAGCTTCTAGTGTACTGCAGGAATATAGTGTTACCATAGTAACGCTACCATATAAGGTAATGTTATCAGTGCAACCCAGCTTCTAGTGTACTGCAGGAATGCAGTGTTACCATAGTAACGCTACCATATAAGGTACCATAATAACCATAGTAATACCACCATATAAGGTAATGTTATCAGTGCAACCCAGCTTCTAGTGTACTGCAGGAATACAGTGTTACCATAGTAACGCTACCATATAAGGTAGCATAGTAATACCACCATATAAGGTAATGTTATCAGTGCAACCCAGCTTCTAGTGTACTGCAGGAATGTAGTGTTACCATAGTAACGCTACCATATAAGGTAATGTTATCAGTGCAACCCAGCTTCTAGTGTACTGCAGGAATATAGTGTTACCATAGTAACGCTACCATATAAGGTAATGTTATCAGTGCAACCCAGCTTCTAGTGTACTGCAGGAATGCATTGTTACCATAGTAACGCTACCATATAAGGTACCATAATAACCATAGTAATACCACCATATAAGGTAATGTTATCAGTACAACCCAGCTTCTAGTGTATTGCAGGAATATAGTGTTACCATAGTAACGCTACCATATAAGTTAATGCTAAAACAAAATACCGTGCACTCGGGGAGATGCCACCTCTTTAAATCGAACATTAAAGAAATAAACTCATTGTAACTCCAGCCTTCTGGAGAATCTGCTCCTTCCTGAAATACAATTTTAAATGAACCCCAAGAACCATTTATTAAGCAGACTGTTGCACGTATAGTCAACAAAAAACTATACTTGATTAGGTCCCAGCATTTTACCCTTAGCCGTTATGGCACGAAATAACAAGGGGCGGAAAGTCGTACACTCTTTTAAATATGAATAAAAAAGTAACAAACCTGGTGTAACCTATGTGTCCACTCTGCCCACACTTGCCCCACTTCCTTCCGCATAATGTGGGGGGTAGCATAGCCCACGTCAAGGAATATGTCCCCCATCTTGTGATTCCACACCTGAAAATATCACAGTTAAATTGGTGGTAATTGTGACATCAACCTCATATACGCTAAATTAGCATAATATTAGCGTAATACATTGCATTACCACATTTTGGTGGAACACCAGTGAGCAGACGTTGGTTTTTATTGGTCTTATTTAAGAGGTATATTATATTATAGCATTGTAAGGGAGTTAATAAGGGTTTCATAATACGATTTATTGTCAAATAGGGTCGTCTAGCTATAAAGCTATAATGCGAATTCTATCACATAAGCATCAGATTGTAGCATTATATTAGATTGTAGACATAGTAGTTGTTGTAGACCTCTTATGAGATTTAATAACCGAATATACGCAGATCTGAATTGCTTTAATTAAAACAGACTCAGTATGAGAGGTGGTTAGAGGGCTGAACATGGTTCCTTTACAGACTCGGTATGAGAGGTGCTTAGAGGCTGAACATGGTTCCTTTACAGACTCAGTATGAGAGGTGGTTAGAGGGCTGAACATGGTTCCTTTACAGACTCGGTATGAGAGGTGCTTAGAGGCTGAACATGGTTCCTTTACAGACTCAGTATGAGAGGTGGTTAGAGGGCTGAACATGGTTCCTTTACAGACTCAGTATGAGAGGTGGTTAGAGGCTGAACATGGTTCCTTTACAGACTCAGTATGAGAGGTGGTTAGAGGGCTGAACATGGTTCCTTTACAGACTCGGTATGAGAGGTGCTTAGAGGCTGAACATGGTTCCTTTACAGACTCAGTATGAGAGGTGGTTAGAGGTCTGAACATGGTTCCTTTACAGACACATTAAGTTATTGAGTTAAAGCACTCTACACATTAAGTTATTGAGTTTTTGATTGAAATAAATTTTCGTGCACATACAGAATGAATGGTTAATAATTTAATATATATGTAGACCAAGCTCTGTGCACGGGATGCTTCCTGGAAGAATCCAGTTCTTTTAGCGGGGCACCCTACCTAAAGCCAAATTGAGATATAATAATCATATTCCTAGGGAAATAATCAGAAATCGAATACCAATCAAATAATATGATATATAGGAGTAGTAACCATATTTACTATGCAAAATGCCCCAACCACATAGTGTAAATTTATGTAAAATTCAAATTCCATATCATCATTAAACCTCAATAGTCAATATAATAGCCCAAGCAAAATTAAATAACTTCTTATATACCTTACTGTCATACTACAAATTAATTAAACATTTGAAATCTGTTAACCAGAGAATAAATTTCTAAACCTAATGCAAGTGAAATAATTTAGATGCAATAATGAATGCAATGAGTTAAGGGGAGATACACCAAAAACGTTTTTGCTCCGAACATCGATTTTATTTTATATTATGGTTAAATAGACAAAAAGAATAAGATTGCACACCTTCAAAATTTTCTAAAAATATTCCCTCATCGAGAAAAAAAAATATTTTTATTTTTCGAAAATTTTTTAAATTTGGAGAAGTCTACCACTGTAATACCGATAGTTCAGTCATTTTAAAAGTTTTTTAGCTGATTTTTTTACTGATCATTACTTACACTCCGTACAAGAAGCCATTGAAAGGATTATATAATTGAACAATAAATGACCAAGTTACAGACCGAACAAGGCGAAAAAAGAAAAAGTGGGATTTTTGCCTACCACCAAAATTGTACATTTTACCACTCGCCCAGGTCATCAGATATCGCTTCAAAAATTCTTGTGAGTGTAGCTGATGATCATATCAAACTTTTTGGAACAGGATTTCTCCCAGTTTTGAGTTTTAAGGTATGAAATGTGGCCTTAAACGACTTAGTAAAATTCATCGTAAAAAAGGGCCAAACATGGCAGATTTAAGGCTTAAAATGCCTATAACTCAAAAAGTTTCAGTTTTTTGAAATAATTTTTACAGAATCGTAATCAGCTTGGTAAGACGAATCTTTTAGTACCAAATAGGTGATTTTAGAAGACAAATTGTCTTAAATAATTTTCCAGCTCGAACACAACCTTGTATAAATTTCGTACAAATTGTACACATTTTTTAATAAATTTTGTGTCTTTAACTATTATAAATGTGGTACTAAAAGATTCGTCTTACCAAGCTGATTACGATTCTGTAAAAATTATTTCAAAAAAACTGATACTTTTTGAGTTATAGGCATTTTAAGCCTTAAATCTGCCATGTTTGGCCCTTTTTTACGATGAATTTTAATAAGTCGTTTGAGGCCACATTTCATACCTTAAAACTCAAAACTGGGAGAAATCCTGTTCCAAAAAGTTTGATATGATCATCAGCTACACTCACAAGAATTTTTGAAGCGATATCTGATGACCTGGGCGAGTGGTAAAATGTACAATTTTGGTGGTAGGCAAAAATCCCACTTTTTCTTTTTTCGCCTTGTTCGGTCTGTAACTTGGTCATTTATTGTTCAATTATATAATCCTTTCAATGGCTTCTTGTACGGAGTGTAAGTAATGATCAGTAAAAAAATCAGCTAAAAAACTTTTAAAATGACTGAACTATCGGTATTACAGTGATAGACTTCTCCAAATTTTAGAAATTTTCGAAAAATAAAAATATTTTTTTTCTCGATGAGGGAATATTTTTAGAAAATTTTGAAGGTGTGCAATCTTATTCTTTTTGTCTATTTAACCATAATATAAAATAAAATCGATGTTCGGAGCAAAAACGTTTTTGGTGTATCTCCCCTTAAAGCACTCTACACATTAGGTTATTGAGTTAAAGCACTCTACACATTAGGTTATTGAGTTAAAGCACTCTACACATTAAGTTATTGAGTTAAAGCACTCTACACATTAAGTTATTGAGTTAAAGCACTCTACACATTAAGTTATTGAGTTAAAGCACTCTACACATTAAGTTATTGAGTTAAAGCACTCTACACATTAAGTTATTGAGTTAAAGCACTCTACACATTAAGTTATTGAGTTAAAGCACTCTACACATTAAGTTATTGAGTTAAAGCACTCTACATCGCGATAATTCCCGATGCTTTAGCGGGGCACAAATCTAAGCCAAGGTATTATTTGTTATAATTTTTTCCGGTTTCTGTATGAAAAAATGTGCAATGTGATAAAAATGTGATAAAAAATAAATCACTCTCCAGTCTACACTCGATCTTCGAGATTTTTCTAAAAGGGCCCCTGACAGTTGATACCAACTTCAATCGATGTATTTTCTGATGGGGAAACGGACTCCTGTTCCCTAAAAGACACTAAATGTTTCTCAAGAACCTGTTAAATCTTTATTTAGGGGCATAATATTTTTTGCAGTACCTAAGATTAACATAGTAGCAATAAATAAAATGAAGGAATTTAATTTCACCTAGGGCAGTAATACATATATGTCAGATTTACTATTTAGGATTAGAAAATTAATTAAATTAACTATGTTAATAAATCAATAAATGTTTTTGCCATGAAACGGACCAAACAGATCCTAACTCATATTCCACTCATCATAGCATATCGCTTCAGCGTGTACAAAGGGCATCACTTCAATCAGTTTAATGTAGTGAAATGACTGGTGTGGATGAAGTAGTGTACTAATACAAGTTGGAGAGGATCAGGTAAGCTTAGTCAGCATCCATGATGTTACAAACCCTCCGGGACATTACTGCGCCCAACCTCCAAACTTAACAGTAAATTCCTACTACGGACAAACAAACACAGACAAAACACCAACAAAAACTGATATACATTATACACTAGCTAGCTCAGAGAGGAAATGAGTAGCATGAGTTTAAATGAGTTAAATGAGTATTAACTATGTTAATAAATCATGATATGCAAGTTTTAATTTTTTAAGTTTTGGTTTTTTTAATGAATAAACGATAGAGGTTTAAGGTCGCATCGTAATTTTTTTCCCTACTCTTGCCGAAGGCAAAAAGATCGTAGGGAATAAGTAATCGGGTTTGGATATATGAGGTGGCCCGACGGTCCTACGGTGTCGACAAAAGTCTGCTCCTTCGCAATATAGACCACTCCCCTATAATTATGTGTATAAAAGGAGTCTATTTTGCGCGCGCGACGCTGGTTATGAGTTAATTAATTACAGGCATAGCAACCAGTTTTTGGTGCTTGACGACTGTTACAAACGGATCAATCATCAATTTAGGTGTTATTTGTGTGAAACAAGCTTAATAAATTACCGAGTGATAAAATTCAGCAAGTCAAAACAAATAAAATTATGATGTCAGCTGATAAACTCGTGGCTGTGGGCTGATTATTTAACAGTGGTTCACGTACTGTAGTGCGACACGTACTCTAGTGCGACACGTACCCTAGTGCGAAACCTCCAAGATCGACAGTGTCGCAGTAGAGTACGCTACCTGGATCGTAGTGCGACACGTACCCTAGTGCGACAGAGAATTTTCAAGGCCGACACTGTCGCACTACAGTGCGCTACCTGGACTGTAGTGCGACACGAACTAAAGTGCGACAAAACACTTAACACATTCAATAAAAATTTTACTTTCCATTTTTAATGACAAGAGTGTAGTCGTGTATGGGTAATGGGGTTAAATATAAAATCAAAGATTGCAATCACAATATTCAATTCAAAATCATTGTTCCAACACACTTCAACTAATCCATTCTGTCATAATCATCGTAGCTATCAATCACAGCGTTCAAGCGACGGTCGTAATCAGTGCACTTCTCCAGTCGGCGAGGAGGTAGTTGTCTGAGCATCTTCATTCTTCTGGTTGATCTTCCATTGGGTTAGATCCTGCTCCTTCTTCAGGACGTCGATAAATCGCCAGATAGTAGGGTTGGTGCAGCCCATCAAGGGGGAGAGGAGGTTTGTGTTCCGACCCAGGTACGTTCGTAGTAGTCACTAGGCAGCAAAGGAATCCATCTCCGAGGGAAGGGTTGCTTTCAGCTGCGTCCAGGTCACAGTAGTGTTGTTCGTCAGACTGAGACGTCCGGAGCAAGTCTTCTCAGTGCATCGCCAGTAGGTCTTGTCGTCGCGATTCTTATCCAGGCAGTAGCGGTA